TTCACAACCCATCAATTCAAATTTCAAACAAGCATTATCCATATAGCTAACAATTCCTAAAATATTAAATAGAATTCAAATTGTTGATGCATTTTAATTTGATATCAGTTTAATAATTGATAAGTAATTATATAGCATAATATGTTAAACGTACCTAAGATGACAAATCGTGCTTGCACATATTTTGGTAAAGTAATCATAGCCAATTCACCAAAGTTTCCAGGATCTCTCATTGTTAAATTGAAATTTGGGAAGTATACAACGAAATTTTCTTTTTCTTCTTGTTTGTAAAAGAAGCGAATTTCGGTTGGACGCCCTACGATATCATTGGTAACTACACCTTTCACGAGGATGGCCTAAAATAAAGTTTTTATGTAAATATCTATATTTATTTATTGGCGAACTTAAAATATATATATACCTTGACTCTGTATACTTGTCCCAAGTCAACGCTAACATAAGTAAATGCTTCTTGCTTACCACACCAACCAGTAACTGAATTCAAACGAATGTTACGAGCTTCATAATTTGGCCTAAAACCACATTTTGATTAGCTTTAAAAAAAAAATTTAAAGATAAATTTACCTTTCTGATGTTGCATTAATAGCTGAATCTGGAATTCTACCAGAAGTCAAACCTAATGGTTTGATAACCTTACATTCAGGCTCTCGGATACATGTAATAGGTCTTGGATTAATTAATATGTAGCCAGGTTTATTACATCCAAATTGTACTTCGGAGCCTTGTTCATAGCTTGAGGCTACTTGATAACCATCTGTAGGTCTTCCAGGGTCTTGACACACGGGACCTTCACATCTTAAATCTCCGAAATCCCAAATACCATTTGCTTGACAACGCACTACATTATCATTCTTATCGGTCTGTCCAGCAAGTTTGAATGTATCTTGACAACCAAAGAAGAAAGATGATTGATATCTAGTATCTTTGAAATTTCCATATTCAGCTCCAGCTGTAGGCATTGGTACACCACAGTCTACTCTCGGGCATGATGGAGTTGCTCCAGATAGCCAATATTCGGGGAAACCCTTAAAAGATTTTAAAATAAAATACAATTAAGTTTTAATAAAATATTAAATTTAGACTTACTGGTTTTGGATCATAAACACATTGTCTAAAGCCAGAAGTTGCAGTTCCTCGAAGAGTTCGTCCCGGGTTTTCACATTTTAATGTAACATTTTCTCTGAATGGCACGAGTACTGCATCTTTTTCAAATCGACTTACTTTAAGACCTTCAATCTTATCATCAGGAAGAGATACACATTTTGCAGCTGTAAAAATTCAAATAAATTTTACATACAGTTATATTATGTAGATCTAAAATATCAATATTAATTTTAAATTACATTGACATTGAGGTACTGTTCCATTCCATGCTCCAGTGGATGTACATAAAAGAGATGCTGATCCAGCCATCACGTATCCGAATTTACACTGGAAGTTCACTAAATCTCCAAAATGATAAGATTCTTTTGTCGAAAGAACCACGCCATTTTCAGGTGCTTGTAAATTGGGACACATAACTGGAACACAGGTCTTATTTCTTTGGTATACGTCACCATCTCTTTCTCCAGATTCAAATTCATTTATAAAAAATCCAGCAGTTCCATTCTTTACATACAGTTCATATCCAATATTACAGGAACAAGCATAACTTCCAGGACTGTTAATACATTTTTGCTGACATCCACCATTGTTAACTGAACATTCGTTCACGTCAACACAATCTAATCTAGTACAACCAACTAATTCAAGTTTTAAACAAGGAGCCACGACGTAATCTTGAATTTTTAGTTTAATATATTGAGCTTCAATGGGCATTGGAAAATTGAGCACTGACAAACTAGGTTCTAAAATGCGGAATTCCACTGGTGTACCATCGGGATTGGTATAATCCCTAAACACATCAGTCAGATTATTCGAATATTGAATTCTTATAGCTGAAGAGAATGCAATTTTGTTAGATCCTCTCATTACACCTTGTGATCTAAAGCCTCGTATTACTGTTGGTGCTTTTAAATCAATCAAAACCCAATTGTCTCCAGGTTCAACATTCGTGCCACACCATCCACGCATCGTATTTAATCTTATCATCTAAACAAACAATGAAGAGTTTTAATATTATTGTACAAATTATTTTGATGAAAAAAAATATAAGATCTACCTCTTTGGTAAATGAAGGTTCAGATCCAGATACAGTGATAGAATCATCTGAAATTCCTCCACTAATTAGACCCAGATCTCCAACTGGTCTGCATTCCATAGTGGGTGCGAAACCAGTCTTACAACGGCAGTGGAACCCTCCTAAGCTATTGACACATTCTGTCGATGATAAATCACATTGACTAGCGGCACACTCGTTTACATCTAATTATCAAAATACAATATAAGAATTATTAAAATAATAATTATCATAAAGCTAGAATCATTTAKAAATGAAAAATAAAAATAAAAATTTACCTTCACATTTTGGTACATTTAAAAAAGTTTGATTAGCTCCGCATTTTATTATCGATGGTCCCCCAGTTAATTTGAATCCCCGATGACATTGTACACGAGCTTCATCTCCATACAAGTATTTACGCGTTTGATCAATAACGAATCCATTTTGAATTTCAGGTAGTACATGACACTCCGCACCTACAACGTTATACAACCACACTCTAAAATCTCTGTTATTGTTTCAAGTCTATTAAAACTTACGAGAACAGACTGGAACTCCACTAGACCACGTTCCATTACTCATACAAAGTACTACAGGATGTCCTGATCGAACATATCCTGACTCGCACTGGAACCGCACTATGGTTCCATAACTTCGTCCGCCACCGTTTAAAACCGTGAAATTGGCATGTGGTGTTTCCGGAAGTGGTGGACATTGAGAAGCTTATTATTTTTAAAACAACCGATTAAAAAAATTGCTCAAATATACTAAATAATAATTCGTTCACTTACCTAAACATGTTGGTAATCTTTCCCATCGCCCATCTGCAAGACATGATACTTTTTCGATTGGCTCGTTGGATGGAAAGGCAAATCCTGCATAACACTGATACATTGCTTGACCTCGGTAAGTAACATTAGTTGAACCGATTGAAAACCCATTATCGATTTGTGGAACGGGACCGCAATACACCTCTTTATCATATAATAAAAATAAATATTAGAAATTATTAACATTTTATTTGTTAATATTTAACTTACCTTGACATTTTGGGATGTAGGAAATTGACCARTTACCACTAATTAAACATTCAGTCGTGATTTTTGATTTTCCTGTTGCAAACTCTTGTCCTACAGGACATGAGAAAGTAACAGTTGTTCCAAAAGCAGTGTCTCTATTTGATTCTAACGCTCCTTCACCAGGCTTCAATGTTGGACAATCTAGGAATATAAGTTGAAATAAAAAATGCTTTGCTTAAAATTTAAAATTAAATCTTACCAGCTGAGAATGTTGCATGCCATCCTTTTTGGTTGTGTAATGCGTCTGTTACAAATCGTACTAACATCTCTCCGCTGGCCGCTGTAAGTGTAATCTTAGGTGGAGTACTTCCAGTAAAACCATTATTTGGATGAAGTCTTAGTCCACTAGTACTTGCTCCATCATAAACTTGTACGTAATCAGATTGATGTAAGACAAACGAATCGAATTTCAGTGATAATGGACTCATAGATGGGTTCTTGATTTTAATGAGACATTCTAAATTGCTTGGGTAATTTGATAAACCAAAAGTAGGTGAAGCAATTGTTCCATTAGCAGCGGTTATAGTGGCTTTACAACCTTGTGAGTATTTAATTTTGAAACCTTTTTTGCTATCACCTAAACTTGTTTTGAAGTATAAATACATTTGGTTTCCGGTAGACATTAATAACCTAGGATTGTTTTCCAACGTTCCTGTTAAACGTCCAATTGGTTGACTTTTTGGCGAATCTCCATCTCTAATCAATACAAAGTCTCTGTTTTGTTGTAATTCTAAATCTTCAATCTAAAATTTGATATTTTATATAATTAAAATATAAAAATTATTTAAACAAAATATAAAATAAWACCTCGAGAGTAATGATTCTTCCAGCTTGAGCAGTGATTGTGTACAAGCATTCCAAACCACCAGGATAATTATTAGGAAATCCGGGTGAAGTTAAAGGTTGTGGTTGTGTTGTTGCTCTTAAATTACCACCACATACTTGCGGTTCTGTTTTCCACGAAGCCCTTTAAAATACATTTTGATATATTAAATGCTTGTAGACGATTTAATTTTAAAAAATTGCAATGTTTACCTGAAGCCTTTACGTTCTACTGAAGCATCTGAGCTAAATTTGACAATCATGAAATTAGAAGCCGATACAAACATTTTGTTACTCAAGTCCATTTTTCCAGAAAGTGTTGCTAAATTAACTGCCTTATCTTCAGTACGACCGMCAACCAGAATTTGTACAGTATCAAATGACTTCTCCGTTTCAAATTCTTGGAACTAATAGTAAAAATATGTTAAAAAATATAGTATAAATTTATATTTTTTATGTAATTATTTCAAACCTGTAATAATATATTATGGCCTTGTGGTCCTTCCAATGTCCATTTACAATTAGACAGGGCTTCATATTTGTGTGGATAATTGGGAGATTCAACAACGTCACCGCTGTTGGCCATATAATAATGGCAGTTTGAAGTGCAATCCAGTTCATCTGACCAATCACCACAATCATTCTGCTTGTCACATTTGAATGCTGAATTGACGCAACGTCCGTTTGAGCAGTGAAACGAGCCTAAATCACAAATTGCAGTTGTGTAAAAAAAAAATTACTTTAAAATTAAACTGTCCAGAAATCTAACCTGTTGGACAGGCATTAGCTCTGCATAAAAATGGCAATAGAGATTCGCACGTTTGCAACTCCCACGACTGTTGTTCATCGGTCACAGTCACGTCAACGCATTCTCCAGATGATGGATCTGGTTGAGACAATGACCAAAATCCTAAAACGGTATCATAATTTTAAAATAATCGTTTATGAATTTCAACTAGTCGTGTTTGATTTCTGAAATTTACCGGAATATTGTGACACTAAAACTCCACCAGCGTATTCTAAAGTATTCGTTCGAAGATCGTCTAACGAAGCCAATCCCAACCAATATTTCTGATTGTTTCTATCTACTGGCCCTAGACTTCTTCTCGCCAATGACGCAGTGTAGTTATTTTCCGTGTATGACTCAATTAATACCAAGTCACTGCCATACCTATACAACAAGATACAAATTTATATATGTCATTAAAGAATTATCCAAACGTAATAGTTTAATCAAAAATACCTGTTGCACAGTTGGGCAGCATTTTCCCACGAATGCTTTATGCTGAAAAATTTGTAACAATGTAGCCCTTTGAGCTCCCATCCTATAACAAATCAGTATAAATTATAAATAATCTGTGGATTGTAATATAGGTACATAGGTAATGATTGCCTGAACAAACTGTTACAGATAATATCATAAAATTTCATCAGATTCATTTTAAAAACAGCCGAGACTACGATATCGTGGTAAATATAATGAATATATTCTAATTCTATTCACTGCGATATTGCGTACAACCTCTTTAATATAATTATATATCTGCAGCACCTATATTTCGGTTCCAAAACCATTGAGACGTGAGGTAGACTAGTTTGAACGCGAAACTATAATAGGTATAGCTGATATACCATAGATATCATAGGCAACGATACCTGCGGTTTTCAATGTATCTGTGCCGGTCTATTGAAACCGAAACCCCGCGGCTCTAAATACAGTCGAAAAACGATACAGTTTCAATCATCATGACGGAACGCAATTGATATTCAATGTGACACACATTCGTCGTGAAAGAGTTGCAGTAGCGTTGCACGTATGTAGGACTGACAACTACTATAATACATGTATATTGTATATAAAAAAGCGCAATTCCACAAAACAGGAATAGCCGAGTATTCCTTTCTTTCCATTTATTATTTTTTTTCATAACAATTTTTTTTTTTTGTAATATATATGTATATATTGTTCGTTTTCATTCGGTGAAACTTTATGAATCACGTGCGCGTTTGCTATAGAAATTGAAACTAGTACGCGGTACTGGGTTTTAGGTCAGATCCTCGTTGACGTTTTTCAAAACGTACCTATATTCCATGTTCTGAATGTACTCAACTATTTTGTACTTGCAGCCAACGACCGATGGAGAAATACCGAAAACGATGACAATAGTCGCAGTAATAATATACATCGTACCCGCCCAAAGCGGAAAACAATCGGAATGGTAATAATATGTAATACGTGTTATATTATTATAATATTTAGCGTGCGTATTATTATTATATTATTGTATGTTACTAGCGAAACAATCGTATAAATAGAATATAGACCCACTCACACGTACTCAAGCTCTCGCACCACGTATAAAGCTAACATTTTAAAATGTTTTTAGAAAGTAACGATGACTTCAAAATTAGACAAAATTAAACAATATACTTATTATATACTTAGTTGCAGGTATTAGAAAATCAATAAATATTTTTACTTTTTACTTGTATTTTGAACGTCTGCAAACAAATACAGATGGTCTATACGCCTAGAGTTTGGGATATTTTGTTTGGTACAATAGGTATTGCCTAATCAAAAATTAACTAGTAATTTTCATTTGCGTTTCGCACACATAACACGATCGTGATGAGCGGACATAATACAATAAATGTTTATTTTACCTAAAATATTATATTATGATGTTTTGTAATATACTGCATAATTTAGTAATTTACAAGACTAGTAAACGTATAAATCCGAAAATATAACAACGAAAAAAACAAAATCTATTAGCTTTCACGTAGAGGAATGTAAAATTGTACCGATAGACAATCAATTATTATATATATGCACATAATATTATAATACACATTGAGTCCAGAAATCTGTTTTTAGTAACCTATATATCCTTTATCCTTATAATACTGCAATGATTAGTAAGCGTAATATTTTTCGTTAAGTAAGAAAATAGAAATAATAATTTTAAAAAATGAATTATACGAAGAAATGAAAACGTTTATTTACAGTGGACTGATTGTTTGGTAATAATCAATAAGTAAAAGTTAAATCCATAATAATATTTTAGTAATTTCTCTAAAATCTTGTTTGGTTAACAGTTAAAAAAAATAACTTACACCGACCAATCAGTATATTATAACATTTAATGTTAAACATACTGTATAGAATATATATATTGTATACATGTTACATACTATATATTATATACATATACATATGTTATATATATATATATTATAAAAATATATTATGTACCGCAAAAAACAGCTAKAAACGTTGTGTGACGGACTTGCATTCACAACCACTATATAACACCATGTACAAGGGTGTCGTAATATCATAGACATAGAGTATAATAAAAAATACCATCGCTTAAAAATAATATAAAGTAATCTACTTGTATTATTACAATATCAAACGAATAACGATAAAGCAACACACGACTACGGTTGCACGCCGTACAGGTACAATGTACATGGTATTTAATATAATTTAGAGATGGGCGATATTAGCATTGAATTTTGATCTACGACATTGAGGATTCGTTGATTCGTAATAGGTGGATAAAATGTACAAAACCTTTATCAATTATTATATATTTATATCATCATAATAATAATATATAATAAATGTACAATCTATAATCATAAAATAGCAATATGGACACTTCTAGAAATTGTATTTTCCTTACCCGAAACTATACGTCTAAGTATATCCTAGTTTGTCCCTAATCCGCCAAGTCCGACATCGACACTTGTTTATACGTATATTATATGGAATCAAATATCAATTTTAATCGATCAATCGATGGCCCGGAGGCGACGAAGACGCGGTTTAGCCGCAAACCACGATGATAACTGTATAGATACACTTTACGGTATACTTATTTCATATTATTATTTTCGCTCCCTCTTATCGTATCTCACTCTCGCGATTCATAAGTGTATACCTAATAACAATAATAATAAACGATATTAYATTTTGTCTTATAATATGATGATGTACAGTAATATTAATATTTATACCTCTCGCGGTGAATACGATGATATGATATATACAACATAATATTATTGTGCTTTTACACGACCGCGGCTGTGAAGGGGGATACCATCACATTCGTTGTTTGCGCGTGCAAAATAATATACCCATACGGGCGCTACGATATTATTATTATAATATATCATACTCGCGGCTTTCTCTTGCAAAACGATTTTGGCGGCATTTCAGCGGACAAACATCGATAATAGCCGAGGCCGAGACCCCACGCGTCCGCGGTGGCGCGCTGGTTCGCCCGCGTCACGATCCACGGCGCGCATCTCCGCCGATAGGAGAATAATAATGTATAATTAATAATAACACGCGAACGCTGCGACCGTCATCCAGYGTTGTTGCGCAACAGCGGACCCGCGGAAATGAAGATGGCCGACAGCTTAAACATATAATATAATACCTACCTATAATGCGCGACTGCTTTGTGCGCTTTATTCGTCGGGTCGACACTTGACGTGTATTATACTAAACGCGATTGCTGCCGATTCGAAAGTCTGCAGTTTGTTTCACTAYATWACATTCGACGACGACGATAAAAAATTACAACGATCGGCGACTCTGCGTCACATAGGTATTATATTATTATGTAGAAGCAAACGCGCGACTATCGAACTCTATTAGTTTACCCAGTGACGTGGCGAACTAAAGAATTTTCCATTTCACCACCTTCGAGCACCTATTCTTGAACAATGAACACTGGGTTTATATCTCCCTCTTGACGGTGTCCTATAAAAATAAATAAACATTACATGGGGAAATTGCCGCTTTTATAGGCAATTTTAGAACCGTATTAAAATTTATAAGATTAATTATCATAATATTAAATGCTATTTAAAAAAAATCGAGCGCCTCTCGACTACCCGTTTTGCCACGCCACTGAGTTAAACCTATATTATCATATTATACTGCAATTACKATAATATTATTATTAGAGTATCGGTGTATTATAATATGGATAGACTATCTGAATCGCCCTTGACTGTTGCAAGTCGTCGTTGCATCTGTTTGTGGTTGCCCACTTGCCCACCATAGTGATACAATAAGCGGCATAAATGTATAATCTGGATACGGTTCCAATGTGAAGAGATGGCGGGGTTTATATGAATTTTATGTAATTTGTATTATATACTAAGTAATAAGTATATATTATTATAGGTACTTGCAATATTTACATAATATAACGTAATTGCAATTCGCAATCCGCTGACACTATTACACTACTACACTAGTACTACAGACCGTGCTTATTATAAGCAGCTTATATACACATAATAATTTATTAATATGAATATCGATATTATTCCGTGTTCGCTATCCAGTAATAAAACTAGATTAATCAATAATCGTTTAATATATGTCCTCAACAATTACGCTGTGAATGTAGACGGTAAACGATTATTTAATTTTACAAATAACAATAATAGCGTAAGTTTAGGGCCCCCACAAAGGGGGGAGGCAAAAGGACCCATGGTACAGGGGCTCTAACTTTCTAGGGCCCGGCATTCATACAAATAATTACTTCACTAAATATGAGAAAAATGTTTACCAATTGTTATTTAAGAGGGACCCGGATTTAGTTATGTACCAGAACCAAAAATATTATGTGGGGCGTCTGCGTGTGTTTGATTGGAAAAATTATAATTTAGTAGCCTGTAAGTGTTTTGTTTTAAAGTGATTTTACCATAAATTTATATATATTTTTAATTTACCGTATATTATTTATTTTSAATTTTTGCTCCATATATCTGCGGACGCGAGAAACACGTTCATAATAGTGGTTTGAAGCGTTATAACTTATAAGAATAACCTAATTTAAACTTATATTTAGTATATACAGTAAATGCGCAGACATTTTTATAATATATATTTACCTGTATGGATGTGTGTAAAGTGCACTTAGTATAGCTCTTTACTCGTGAATTTTTATACTTAATAAATTAATAGCTGTTTCAAATATTCATATTATACTAGTGTAACGTCGAGTACACTGMTGTATATTATTATTATTAAATGGATAACTACTTAATTCATACACAGTCCAGTTTTTCGTCTATCATATTGGACACGCAGCTGTTTTTTGATCGCAACCGGCTGCAGTGAATTACGCCATGGTCGATAAGCCTTAAATGATGTGTGTGTATTGTACTAATTATATTTATATGCACATTATCAATCGATTTTATTCGCAAATTCCAACTCACCAATATAAATACCCGCGTCATACGTTTGTTTCTATATAGATTCTAAAATATTTTATAGAACGTTCGAACTATA